CCCCTCATTCCCCAATCGCTCGCCAGCACAACAACGACGCGTACTGTCAAACAGTCAACACACAGCATGTCCCTCGCCGCCGCCGCCGTGTGCGGAGGGACCGAAAAAAAAAATACACGCGTCATGCGAGGTCGGCGCCGAAGGGGGGAGGTGGGCGAGCGAGAACCAGTCCCCCTCAATAATGGTTTCTTTATTAATTTTCCCGTGTTTCCTTTTGTTGTTTGTTTGTCTTTGTCGCGAACGAAAAAAATATAACGAAGCGCGAGGCCCTGATAAATTGCGCTCGACAGTCGGCGATTATTATAATTCGTAATGAAAAGGAAATGGTGTGTAGGATCGTTTAGTTGAAGTTGAAAAAAAAAACGAAGCATTTCTTAGAGCCTGTTCCAAAAGATGTGTACTGTACTGTACTAGGTATTTATTTAGAAAATGAGATGCTGTATAAAATAGTAAACGGGATACAGCGCGCGGTAATAAAAAAAAATAGTTTCTTGTATTTCAAGACCCTGTCTTGGGCCTTATGAAGGACGCCAATAATGGCATCCAAGACCAGGTCTTGAAATACAAGAAACTATTTTTACCGTGCACATAGTATATTTTCCAACTGTGTGTTGTTGCGGTGGGGGTTCCATGAGGCTATACGGCGCCTCGAAGGGGAGCAGAGCGGTTGGTTATGTTTCCGTAAAATAATGCCGCGGCCCGCGCGCTCCGCCTGACGTGCCGCGGGGACGGATGGTCGTGCATAAATCTGATAATACGGGCTTAATCAGTCTGAACGGCGCTGGGGCTGCTGCTGCTGCCGCCATTACCACTACTACTATCCTACTACGCTGCCGGCTGCCGCCACCACTCGTGCTGCATCTGCATACCCATGTGAAAATTAAACAACAAAAATGGGATGTTTTCTATTCTTGTGAAGAAAGTAACTGTTCGGGCGCAACACTGTTAGAAAAAAATTGTGATTTTACAACACTCTTACCATACGAGGAGATCTGAAAATCACGATACTTTTCTGGGAACCAAAATCCAAACAGTTCTTCGTAATTTTTCAGAATATCTACCTGTTTTTCTTTTCCAACATTCCTTTGTAACCACTCTACAGAGAACCTTCGTTTTACCCCATAGAATCTACAGAATTCAGAAACTCCAACATTTCTCCGTGAAATTCTAGAAAAAAATGTAATTTTTAATGGGTCGGTTTAATTCACATCAATTGCAAATGCAGTAGTCTATTATTTCTTGCATCTGCATACCAGTGGACAAAACTGTTTCAACATCACACCATTCAGTTTTAAGATGTAAAGAAAACGATACTTTGTTGGGAAATTTAAAATCAACGGTTTCTTGTAAATTCACAAATCTTTCCAAAGTTGCTTTGTAGCCCATAATTTTCAAAGCAATATCGTTATATCCTTAAAATTTAACAAGGAGTTGTAGAAACTTTTTTTACGAAGCTTTCTTCGTGAAGTTTTGACTTTGTTTTGACAGTGAAAGCAAATCCTTCGCGATTGTCGATTGTGCTCACCATCGTGATGTGAAACGTATGTGAGAGTGAGAGAGGCACCTCTGCTTTTTGTTTGTCGATAGCATTTGCACAAATCTCTCCCATCAATCAGAAAGTTAACCAGCGCATAGTTGTTTTGTCTGACGTTGTTTTGCATTCGCTCCCCCAACCGAGAGAGCAGAGCAATTGCAATTACCTGTGTTACCCGCAGCCTTCAAAACGAGCTGCAAAAACCCGCTTCAGATAGGAGCTGTGGCAGACAGCAGGGATGGTACCGACGCTCGTTGGCAATCGTACGGTGATGTATTATTTCCTAAAAATAATTAGCGAATTAAGCCTCGTTGTGAGCTGATTTCACGGTTTTGGCTTGCTTTTTGTCGGACGGCCGCCGATATGGCCAGCCAAGCCCCCATCATCCCCCCCTGCTGCTGCCCCCTCTCCGTCCACACGGCTGGCTGCACCCAAACTTTCTCTCCTCGGTCAGTGAATATCGCTGCTGCCAAAAGTGACAACAAGTTCTGGCAAATGAGGTATATCGATCGCCGGCAGGAGCGACAGGCGTGCGGCCCCGCCGTACAGTCTTGGGGCCGCCCGGGCGAGTACAGTCCGCCCCATCCATCATGGCCCTGCGACGGGCCGAGTGATTTAGTCATGAGATCATCATGTAGTGCGGCGGGAGATCATTCGCTGTAAGGGTCGTGCCGTCATATTTAGGGGGGTTGGGCTCGGGGTGGTGCTATGGCGTGCAGTTTCAGCTAACTCCCTCTTAGCAGAGTATATACCCGGTCATTCACCGTTGATAGTGGATGACGAACTCGCAGGTTTTAAGCGTGTCGGTATTTATTGATACTTACCTATGTTGGTAGGTAGGAGGATGAACGAACACGAGTAGCTGGAGAACCTCGCTGGGGGATATCCTCCCTGGCAGAGCGTCCTAGCCGGACTAACTCTACCTGCCGTTCGTTCGAGGCCCGCTCGACGAAAGGGGTCGGCCGGGGCGGCGCGGGCCTTTTGGCCTCTCCATGTTACACGTAAGGAGGTCCGCCGTTGTAGGGCGGCCGCGGGGGCGGGCGGGAGTGTTTGAGCGATTGATTTGAATCTAATTTGGTAGCTCCCTGTTTACGGTTTGGGCCACCTGTGCGCAACGTGTGGGGGCCCCGGACTGACGGTATCCTGTTGGTAGCCCACCACAAAAAACGCCCCTATTCGTCTTCCTCTGCTAACTGAATCACATTGTAATCCAATGTGAGGTGATATGGCGACAACAAGTATCAAATCCCCCTGCTTGTTCTGCTTGTTCAGAGGAATCAGGACGATTATTAATTTATGTCGTCAAAATTTTTCACCCCCACTATTATCTTGAAGTGGTTCTCAGCCTTGTTCTCAGCACTGGCCTTACTGACAGAGGGTGAGGGTATGATGGTCGATGATGGTAGAACTTGGGAGAGCCCCAACTTGATGCCGTTGGTGAACAGCCTTGCTCATGTTGCAGGTCCATGTCCGTCCGCCGGCGCGGCTGCTCTGTGGACGCGGACTGCCTGCGCGCGGCGCGCTGCCTCCGCCGCCTGCCCCCCTTGGCCGAGGCGCCGCGCTACGCGCCCGTCTGCCGCTGCATCCACCCGCCGGCCCCGACCACCACGACCACGACCATGGCCTCCACCACCGCCGTCACGGTGACGACGGTGACGGCAGAGGCCGTCGGCAACCTCACGACCACCCCGGGCGCGCACAGCATCAGCAGCAGGGGCCAGTGCGTGCAGGCGCGCGTGCTCGGCCAGCCCTGCCACCTGGACACCGAGTGCTCGCCAGGTGAGAGCAGCGCGACAGCGGCAGGCCTGCATCGAGGCCTTTCATTTCCACTACAAAGAGAAAGGTGTCTCTCAGTACCTCATAAAATTCCCGAAACTCAAGGTGCATTATTTTCTATAAGGGACCAAAAGCAGCAGAGGCGCTAAATTCAGCACTTTTTACGACGGTTTGATGTTTCTATTACTGGAGCATTCTCTGAAATTTTTCAAATTGGGAAAAAGAATGACGTGATTTCCCAAGATTACGTTTTCAGAAAGACGACCAGCCAACATATTGCTTCCACTCAAAACTGCTTGAATACCGATGTGGGCTTGAAAACCAAGCTCGCGTTTTTCATGTCACTTATTAGCACCACGTAAAAGAGAGGCCATCAGTACCTCTGTTTTTTCAGTTCCAACTTTCTGCTCGCCTCGTTTATATCGCCACAACGCACTTTGTGAGAAGAGATCCCTTGCTCGGCGGGGAGCGCCCGGGCCGCGCGCGGGTAGGCCGCTCGCTCGGCAGGCGTGCTGGCGGGTGGCCTACCCGGCCGGCCGCAGGCGCGCAGCCCGACGAGGAAGGCAGTGCGGGGCGGCGGAACGCACGCGGTGCGGTCGGGGCATGCGGCTCGCTCGCAATCCGTGAGGGGCGCGGCAAGGGGAT